CTCTCCAGACTACAAGTACTCCAGCGTGGTGACAGAAGAGACCAAGCTGAAGGGAATCTTCATGGGCCTAGGAGTCATAGCCGCCATCTTGCTGGCCTGCTGCCTTCTGCTACAGCTGCCATGTTGCCGTACCTCAGTCACGCAGAAAATCGCGCACATCGGATTCGGTATGCGAAATCCGGATACAAACGGTCTGCTGTGAATAGAGAAGATCGCGCACATCGGATTCGGTCTGCAAAATCCGGGTATAAACGTTCTGCTGTGAACAGAGAGGTGGCCAGCCCTGACGACGGGCAGAATCAGATGACGTCTTTTTTTTTTAAATATAATACTACTGTGTGTCTTCAATATCGTTGTTTGAAGCTTGGGGAGAGTGGGATTTTTTTTTTGGGGGGGGGGGTGGTGGTCTCTTGTTTGTGGTAGGTCTTTAATTGTAAGATTTTGTTTCTATTTTCTACAATATGGATGTTGGAATGGTGTTATCACGTCAGCAAAATGAGGAGGGAAAAAACTGGCGGGGATGGTGTCTATTCCTCTTGACGGTCGTGTGTAGTTAAGCATGCATCTAGACACATTATCATGTCTTTGTATTATTGTATTTTGTACTTTTGGTATATCAACTTTAAAAAATGGCGTAAGCCCAGGGGGAGAATTAAAATAATAGGTACACTTTTACAGCGATCTGGACACAAACTGCCTCCCCAAGAAATGAAGACCGGTACACATGAAAAAAACCTTTCTCTTTGACCTATGTGATTGTGACTATTTCTTACTTACAGACTCTAACATAAATTATTGACCACCATGACAGACAGCCCTGATTTGTTTTTAATCCGAAAAAAAAGATAGAAAGCAATGTTTCATTTATTTTATTTTTTTGCTCTGAAAGTGTTAATGGGTTAGCAATGTGTACTTAAAAGCTTCCTAAAGTGGCAAAACCATCATGTGCAGCACGGAAATCCTCGGGGAATTTTAGCTCAATTTGCTGCTTTTTATCGACATGTGTGCAACACCACGGACATTCCTCACTTAAATTTTCTGGGCACGTCACAAACGGACGTACGGTCTCGAACTGTGCTCACTTTGGAGGCAATATAAGCCGCCTTTTGCGCAAAATCCAGTATCGTATCAACAAGCCACCGAGACGAAGGCTGAGAGACTTTGATCGTGACCGAGCTATGGTATGGCTGCAGGATGGAGTTGGAGCCCGAGAAGCTACCAGAAGGCTTGCAGTGTCATACTCTGTCATTGTCAGCCTAAGGCAGCTCCATCAAGCCACTGGATCAGCTCAAGAACTCCCACGTACAGGTCGACCCAAGAAGACCGCTCAGAGTGTTATCGTATTTTAAAGTTTTAGTAGAGGTTTTACGGCGCTCGCAATTGCATAATGTCATATGAGCGCCAGAAGATTAGAGGTGTTACAAGAGAGTAACAAACATAAAAAAGAAGAAGGGGGAGATAAGGACGATAGATGTTTGATAGGAAAGAAGAAGCAAACCGCACCAGAGCACCCACCAACTACCCACTCAGAGTGTTTGCAAGTGGTCCTTAACTTATGTTGAAGTCTGTAGTTATGTTGACACCGGCGACTGTGGTGTAGCGGTTAGGAGCTTTTGCTGTCCCACGCACGAGACAGACCAAGTTCGATTCCCCCCGTGAGAAGAAAATTTTTATCGAGTATCTCGGTCTTTCTTCAGCAGCTGGGACGTTGTATCTCTCTCAGCAAAGTTGGCCCTGCAAACAGACAGGGTCGGAAGCTCACGTTCTTAAATTATCTAAATTGTGCTGATGGGGGCCGATAAAATATTTTTTTTTTAAAGAATATATTTTGACGATTTTGTTTCAGAAATATGTTTGTGAACAAAAAGGATCTACCATGCCATTCTTTCTTATGTCATGCCATTCTAAGGTTTCAGCAATTCCTGTTCCTTTATTCATGAGTCCATTTCTCGACAACTGTGGAAGAGGAACCTTTGACACTTTGAGGAGACGCGCATTCTAGTTATTCGATAACACTTTGGGGCACTTAAATAATTCAGTATTTATAAAAATTATTCAATCATGTATTCATTACCCGAAATCTAAAAAAAAAAAAAAAGACAGACAGCAACATGCATGCTCTAAGATATTATGCACATTGTTGTTTCTGATGTATGTATGTATGATCGTTTGATTATGTCACAATATGGCCTTTAGTCTGCCATCGGACACAATACCACCCTAGAATTACAAAGTTCTATCTGCTCAGTTCCAAGTTTTGAGAAATGTGACGTAAAAATGTTTGAATTTCACAACATGTCAAGCTTTTTCAAATGCAGTTTTTTGAATGTCCTGAAAACGACTCCGAATAATCTTACGATCTTGATAGAGCTGATAGAACATTCTGATTTTCGATCTCATGGACTTTAGTAACTCAACACAGTCAAACATTTCAGATAGAACTTTATAATTCTGAGGTAGCGATACGTGTCCGCTACATATCCTTAAAGAGTTAATCATATTTCGCTCGGGTCTGGAAATTATTGTGTTTCTGTTTCTACTCCTGAGTTTGAAGTTCCTGTTTTGATAGTTAAGTTGATTTTTGTTTAATTAATTCATGACTTTTCTTAGGCTACCGTTGATATATTTGCTTTTGTTGTAGTTTGTTGTTTCTTGTGGTCCTGTTCTTATTGCTATTGTTACTGTTGTTGTTATTGTTGATGTTGTTGCTGTTATTGTTGTTGTTGTTGCTGTTGTTGTTGTTGTTATTGTTGTTGCTGTTATTACTATTATTATTACTGACGTTATTCCAACAGTCACTGCTGTCATTGCCGATCCTTCAGCCGCTGTATCAGTCCGTATATTATTCTCTGTACACAAATTATGGTCGCTTTTAAGGACAAGCGGGTTAACCCAGATTTCAGGGATTTCCAGAAATCTTGACGTTCACCAAAAGTGGGCATTTTCCTACCTATAGGAGAAGTTTGGTTTCTCCTTGGGTTTTTTTTAATAGAAACTGAACAAGGGTAAAAAACTTTACCTTCGATTTTCTCAAAAAAGCATTTTTTGGGATAGCCCACTTGTGCTTAGAATGGACCAATTGTACCAGGGCGCGGTGGTATCAGGCGCTGGTCAGTTTTGGGGCATGGAGTTATTGAAATAATCTTGAAACTTGTCCGTTTTGCTTGCTTTTGATGAAAAAAGTACCCGTTTATCTCGAACGCATGTGGAGATATTTGAGATTGAAGGAGGTGGGCGGATACCTGAGGTCAGAAGAAACGATTCGTGAAATATGGCCTGTAAAGTTTGGTAACTTCCATAGCTTGAGAGTCCTAGGGAAATGCAAATTTACTTTTTGTGTGCCTTTTACCAACGTTTTTACTAAAATTGACACCGATACATATTTACGTTTCTAAGGGGTTGAGTGAACAAGATTTTTTTAATTGCACAAGAAGCGAGAAAACGTCGCTTTCTTGAATTTCATTATTTTAACGAGCGCCTGATATCACCAACGACGCCTCACAAATGGCGTGATTCATTATCATAATGACATTGTGTGTTAATTATTTTTTCTTTAAAAAGGCCCCAAAACACTATGCACACCTTCGTTTCGTTTCTTATCGATGTTGTTTCTACTTTTTGGAACTGCCTTCACCCCCCACTGTGTCAGCAAGGCGGTGTCGTGTTGGTTGCTACAGGAAGTTGTGCCTTGCGTACCATCTGCTGACGTCATCGTTTAAAATCTTACTTATTCCCCTTTACCTTTCGTCAAGATGATCGCTGGGGCACCACCAAGGATGATCGAACAACCACTTTTCTTCATCCTTCTCTGTTTTCAGCTTTTCCGGAAGAGCTTCACCCAACTTTAAACCTGCCCTTTCCGTTATTGTGTCATCCCATCTATTTTTCTGTCTGTATTTCCTTCTCCATCCTTGTACAGTGCCGTGTAGGATCATCTTTGCAAGTCTTGTAGATCTTGTTATGAGCCCATACCATCTGAGTTGGCGTTTTTTTCACCTGCTGTCCTGTTTAGCATCTAGTTCTGTAAGTGGGCAAAGATAGCTTTGCGACATCGGGAGGTTAGACTTATACCCAGTGCATATTGCCCATTGCCCATTTTATTGTGATAATAATAATAATAAAAATAATAATAATAATAATAATAATAATAATAATAATAATAATAATAATAATAATAATAATAATAATAATAATAATAATAATAATGAAATTGTATTTGCACTACGTAAACTCCCGTTCAACACCAAGCTCTTGGCGTTTTACAATCTGTACTATTTCACCAATAAAAGCGATAGTTTCCGAAGGAATTTCAACCACTTGGGAAGCATACAGTGCAAGTTGTCATTTCATAAGAGATAAAGATATAAATGGTCGCTTTTAAGGACAAGCGGGCTAACCCAGATTATGGGGCTTTCCAGAAATCTTGATCTACACCAAAAATGGGCATTGCCCTACCTACAGGAGAAGTTTGGTTTCATTGGTGTGTATATTGGTTTGGTTGTAGAGAAAAGTCTCCTTGTCTTTTGAAGAAACTGAACTTCTGGCAAAAGCATTACCTTCAATTGTCTCCAACACATCATTTTCGGGATAGCCCCCGTGTGCTGAAAAGCGACCAAATATACCGATAACATCAGATGAAGACAGTCAACCACAAGGCTTTATGCTCTGGGGAGTGAGGTTTTATTTTAAGTTTGCGCAAAGAAAGCTATGAAGCCGAATAAACTTCCAGGCCAAATTTATTGAAGCAAAGCAGAGAACAATTTGATATAATGTGCACGAGCGCATAATTGATCTACTTTCAAATATATCAAAGGTATCAAATAAATTTTTCTTGTAACAAAAGTATCAAATGTATCAAATTTTCAGTGTATCAAATCTTTCAATTGTCAAATAAATAATAATTGTTAATGTATCAAATAATATATCAAAGAT